TTGAATGAGACAGTGTCGTTGTTTGTTTTTCTCAAGCCGAAAGCCAAAAGACACAAAACACCGTCGATAAATGTTTGGTGTTTGACATGTGGTCACTTTGCATATAAAGCAATGTTTCGTTTTTTTCTTTCTGTTTTCAGTCTTGCAGAGTGCGTCAACTTTCATTCCGCACGATGAGCCAATAAAAAATAATTTATGCATGGCAAAAGTAAATAACCAGTAATTGTTAAGAATTATAGGAGCATTTTGCATTAAAGCACTTTTCAAAGTTGAGCCAAAGTAATTTTGCACGTTCCCGTGCTTTACCCCATTGCCACGGCGGTTTCTCCTGCCACCGCTTCTGCCACTGTTGCTGTTTCTGTTGCTGTTGCTTTCGGTCTAACACTTTACGCGCTTCCAACAGCATGTACATAAACCAACGGCGGCCACGAATCCGCTGAAGAGAAGAGAAAAAAAAACACTTCGCTCCGAGCTTATCATTTCCATTTCAAACCTGCGCAAATGCAAACACAAACCTAACGGAGTGTAACAATTCATTACTATAATTATTTGTGATGGGTCCGCTTTTGTAGTTGTGAGTTGTTGCCCGTTGCTGAATTGTGTGTGTGTGTTTGTGTGTTTTTATGGTTTTACGGAATACGAAATGAAATCGCGCGAATGATGATGATATTTCTTCGAAGCGTGTTCATCCGACGGCTGGCACAAAAACGCAACCAGACAACCGACTGGCTTGACAGTAAAAAGTGAAAAAGAATTTCATCGTTTATGGCATTCGATTGGGTTTTAGTTTTGCATAGACATCGACGTCAAGCATTTTTCGTTCGTGATATTTGCTGTTTGCACCGAGACCAAAATATACTTATAAGCCAATAAAGCAACAGGTAAACACCGATTTTTTATTTTATTTTCATTCGATTTTTATTACTAATGCTTTTTCGAGTCTATTCGAAGCATTGATTACAGTTGTGGTTATGTACAAATTACAACGGACAAATGCATTTATGATTTTGCCGGTTGTTGTTGTTGTTGTTGTTTATTTTTGCTTTGTATTTTGTATGCCAATCCGAATTAAGAACAAATGGTTTTTTTTTTCTTGTACAAAATGCCAGCGTCGATTTAGAAACACTCTATCGGCTGAAAATTGAGTGATTGCAATTTGGCATACTTCGCACAGCTACCGTTAATAATACCGGCACCGGATTGAAAAGCACTGCTGAAATCGATTGGATTTTCATTTGATTTTTATGAGCGAAAATTCCAAAATGTATCTGGCTAAGAAGAAGTTGCTTTGTTCAGCCCTTCCTTAAATCTTTTGTTAAATTACACCACAAACATTCTTGCATTTTAACGGAGTTTTAATTCATTTTCTGTGCAATGAGTGTCACACATGAATCGTCCGTTGTGAGCACAATCCGGTTCTTTTCGCCACTTTTCAGCATATAGAAGTGATGAATTCTTGGCTCACTTTGTCAAAACAGAACAGAAATAAAAAAAACAGGCGTTGAAGCCATTAATCAGCACGAGTGCTTGAGTGTAAGTGAAGCAAAAATGATGATGTTTTGTGAGTGTGCATGAAGTAGTGGACAATTTAATTGTCGATGACGACGACGGTGATGGTGATGGTGACGGTGTCGTTTAGACTTTGGAAAGCCCACGACGAGATCAAACAACAATGCGGTTTTAACAAAATATTGATTTAAGCGCTTCGTATGACAATAAAAACGACAAAATACGAAAGTGATACATGACAAAAACCATCTAAATAGTTAAATCAACATCGTCATTGGTGTTCCGCGTCAACTTCAACGATATATGCCAAACAAACCCGTAAACCGTTACCGTAATATAATAATGATGAAAGAAGGGAAAAAAATACTACACAAAATTGTGCATCGGAAAAATATCTTCATTTCATTTGGTTTTGGTTTGGGAACGAAACCTGTCGATGGTCTTTTGGTTTGGTTTTTTTTTTTATCGCGCGCACTTCATTTTCTAGACTCGAGATACTAATATGGCAAACAAAGGCCGAAACAAAAGCACAAACCGAAGAACAAAGACCGAACGATATGATGGATAAAAGAGTAAATATGTGCATATAAATGTGAAAAATTGAATAAACACTGCAGCCAAACGCAGTTCACCTGTGCGGTACACAGCACACCACACTATGCCAAGCCACAGAGTGCCAATGCAACGGGAGACAGCACACATACATTTCATGCATAAGTGCCATTGGCTGCGTAGCCACAGCGGAAGAAAAAAACAACAACGCCGAACTGAAAATGACACATTGATGTCACTTCTTTCTCACTTGTCACTTCCATTTCGAATTGAAGAAAATATTTCTTGTGTTTAATTTTCTGTTGATTCTTTTGTTTATGCTTTTTTTTCTTCTTATTTTGAATTTGTGACATTTTCTCCGCTCTGACTATTTGCCTGAGATCATCGGGAGAGCAGATGAATGCGTTGTTAGCACTAATAATTAACCAGTTAGTGGCATAATTTAACAGCTCTTCTTTCTTCGCAACGGAATTTATTTTGTTTATTCTCTTTTTTTCCTTTATTTAATTTACCTTTCGATCAACCAGCCTGAGAAATTTTTTTTTTCATTGGGCGCCATCACTTATAAGTAACGTGAGATTGGTTAACACTCACATCAACCAAAATGATTAACAAATTTGTTGCATTGAAACAATGAAATTTCAATTTTATTCGAGCCAAAAATTTAACTTTTTAACCCGGACCTTGGAAAGAAGCTAAAAATGCGTAAAAGTTGCACTTTGTTTTGGTTTTCGTAAATTGTTGCAAAAAAAAAATTAGTTTTCGGAGTTGACTGTGATTTCAAGCAAGAATTCGGATGTTGTCCTCTTCAATACAACGTGGTTGTAGCTGTACAAAACCATAAACAGCTAGTTATAAACGTATTTTGGTCACATGGTTTGTGTTGGCACACATTTTTTACTCCTGCCATTTCACACATGTACGCACGCACGCACTCGCACACACACACACACACACACACACACACCTTAACGTTCTATGTCAAAAATCACATATGCGTTGCCTTTGCGTTGACCCGGCTCACATTTGTTAAATATGCGTATTTGCCGTCAATGGAGCAATTAGGTCATAAACGTGTTTCACTGCATTTCTCCTATCCTTGTTTTGGTACTCTGTTTCAGGCAGATTTTCCTTTTGCCAAATATTATTGCTCTAATCAGTGCTGGCTTCCGAGAAATGATTGAGTTGTTTATGGGGTGAGATGCGTAGATTTGTTTGGTATCTTTGCTGGACACTTTTTTTTCTCTCTATTCTCTCTTTTGAAAATTCGTCACTTTTTTTTGCTGTTTGGCCATTCTCCTGCGTTTACTCCCATTGAATGTTGCATGCAGTTCGGAAACAGTAAAATTCAGACCATATATGATGGTTGTCATTGCGCTGGTTTTTTTTTTTTCATTTTGTTTCTTTTTCACTGGAAAAAAAAAATCAAAATTCTATTCATTATTTATTGTGGGTTAAATTCCTGTGTCTCTATGTGTGCAATTTGGGCTCTTTCGGAACATTTTAGCTTGCAAACGAACGAATTGATGTTTTGTTCTTAAATTACTTAATTTATGACAGTGAGGATGGAGTTGTGCAAAATAATCCGGTGTACTGATAAGACGCGGAAGATCAAAGGAGCACAAGGCTCTCTGACAAAAGTCGCAACAACAAATTTCGTCGTTAAAATATTCTCAGGAAAGAAAATTGAGAATTTAAAAAGATGTTTCTTGGGTTCAACCATCAACGGCCAATCCAAAAAAAAAAATGAGAACGAGTTAATCATTGTCAAGTCCAATTGTTACTCATCGTGAAATAAATCTCAGTCATGGATTCGCAAATAAAAGTAACAACATTTTGCCTACCTAAACCAAACACTCTCCTCTTGCTTCTATTATCGTGTTCATACACACAAAGGCCACATAGAAAACAAAAAGTGAGTTCACTGTTCGACAGCAATACATTTAGGTCCATTGACGGACAACGATTAGTTCCTTCTCGGAACTAGGTTCTGTCAATGTGTGCGGATATTCTCCCTGTACACACAACATTTTTTTTTTTTTATTACTTTATGAATGGTTGTTGCAATGGTCAGCGTGTTAACACATTCATACAACAAAGAAAAAACTATCTGATTTTTTTGTTTCTGATGCCGTTTACCTTTTAGATGTTTATCTACTCGTCGTCAAGTTGAAGAGAACAAATAAATATTGCACAGATTTTTGGAATGAATTTTTTCGTGTGTAAAAATGACTGAAAAAGAACGAAGAAAAATAATATTTCGCTTGATTTGGTGTAAAGACCCGGTATTTGTTCGTTCAAAAATTATATCAACCGTTTGAACAAAGCATGTTGATTTATTTATCAAGTACGTGCTTAACTAACAAGACATTAAGTGACTTCTTTCATCGATGCAATTTCGAATGAACGTTGGACAATCTCTTAATAATCATATGTCTAGAAAGAAATCCGCTCGAGGATACTTCACTTCGCCACCGTATGATTACCGAATGATGGAAGGAGAGAAAGATTCATGACAAGTGCACAAGTGCACGCAACGCAATTATTACTTTTTTTTTTTTTAATGTGAACAATTATAATTTATACATATATTTCGAACAAATGAGTACGTGTGATAGTGTAATTTGTTTTAATATCGCAGCAAAACATACAATTTAGTTTCATGATATTTTATCGCCCTAATGAGCATCAATTCTTACATACATTAATTACATTGTTTTTTTTTCCTTTGCATGTATTTATTCAATTTTTTTTTCAATTTTAAATTATCCTTAATTGCACCGACTTCTGGTATTTCAAGTGTTGGCTGTTTTTTCCGCATTTTATAAATGGGCGAGAAATCGGGACGGTGTACAGTTTAAATTTGTGAAATTGTGACCCAAAATCAATGATAACGAATGAAAATTGAGAGAGAAAAAGAAAAAACGAAACAAAAGATATATGTTTAATCAATTAGGGGCTAAATTTTTAATAGTTTTCTAAGTTTGTACATAAAATAAATTACAAGAAATTATAAAAAGAAATAATAATAAGTAAAACACAAACATTTTGCTTTATAAATAATTATGTCTATTGTACAAAATGAAAATCTACCGAAATTAGTGAACTTTTAGTCTTTTTAGCAGAGGGGAAAAATTTCGAAGAGTTAACATGAAAATAGAGTACGGCAATCGTTATCACAGCTTGAACCTTTTCAATAAAAACCACATTTTTTGGAAATAAATTGTTGTGTTTTTCTACAGTCAAGATCACATCGACTGAATTCATAATTTTCCAATTTTTTTTTCTTGTCATTGTTGAAAGGTCAAGCAATTTTTGGCAATTATAAATTAACGTGAATCTTCACAAAGTATAGTCCTAATTAAATAAATATTGGATTTAGAATCAAATAAGCTCAACGATTGAAACGATTCAACATTCCGTCGATGGAACTTATTTGACTAAATCTTAAGTATTTTAACGCCATTTTTGAACGTGATTTCATTTTGTTCAACACTAAATAAATTTCAATAGATTTAATTTAATTTTCAATACTCTTATGTTATCGTTTAATTTCACTGGATTCATTGTATTTGTTAATATAAATTATTAAATAATGTTTGTAATATTTATCAACTTAGTTGTGTCCAGTGTGTGAAAATTGGATTGAACATCGTTATGATTATAAATAATAAGGAAAATGTTTAATGAATTTATCGAAATGATTCTATTGAATTGTGGGTTATATTTACAAAAGATGCCAGTGAAACATAAAACGTAAAATCTCTTGTGTGCGAAAATGTCAATCATGATCATGAAATAAATAAATAAAAATGCTATCGAATTGTTGTTTTGTTTGGTTCAATCAAAATGAAGATGTTCGATAATGTTAAGCGCTCTAGATTTTGAGTTAGACCCAACGAAATTATAAATTAATTTAGACTAAAGTGATAAATATTTATCGCAATTGACATTCATGGAGCACACATATTGATATGAATATAATTTATATATGAATACATTTAAGTAGTTTAAGTATAATAGCATCATGTTGGGTAGGTTGTTCTTATTCTGTGTCTGTGTCTGTTTTTTTTTCTTCCAATGGAATTCTGGCAATTATTATCGTTAATTAATGATAAATGAACTTTGTTCAATATTTGTTTTGAAAGTGTCTATTTCAATGCGTGCCACCAGTGCATCGCCGAAATGTGTGCTTTCGATTGGATTTTTGCGCTCAAAAAAAGTTTTAAAAGTATAGCGCCAAATCAAATATCTTTAGATATTTTCTAGAATGATGTTGACAACTTCGTTGATGTGCTCCAATTGATTGATGTATTCCCGGAAAATGACCCAATCGTAGAAACTGGAATTTGGCGCTTTGGAGCTGCGAATGTTATGTGGATTCAAAACGACGATTGGTGCGCCCAATTTGTGCAAAGCCGTTCGAATTTCGCACAAAACCATTTGTGCATTGGTTTTAGCACGCGCAAACACCTCATACAATGGATTGTATTTCTCCAAATCCATTGTTGATCGCTTGGTATTGTGGTCGTCGAGAACATTATGAAATCCGATCATCAACAGTTGGAAACGTTCATCACAATCTTGTAGCAGTTTGGACAATCGTTCAATCAACAATTTTCTCATCTGTTTTCAAAGGAGAGAAAAAACGAGAAATTAGAATGAATTTTTGATTACAAAAATGAATCCGTTTTTCTCTTTCCACAAAATACTTACAGCTTCAATATTGAATTTTCTTGCTGGGGCACGGAAATGTTCGCCTTCTGATTCTGGAACGGATTGGCCAAATTCTTTGGACAATTTACCTCGTGGATACAACCATTCTTGCTCCATGATTCGCCATCTATAATGGAAATCTTCGACGCTTGTGTCTTCAGTGATTTTCAGCTATAATTCAAAAGAACAAAAGAAACAATATTTCATTAGTAACGGAGGTAAATGGTCTTTTGTATTAACTAATAGCATATAGAAAACTTTAAAGCGTAAGGTGATAGAAATTCATGCACGTCATCATCAATGACGCTTCACAGCCAATGACACAAGCAACCAAAATGAATTTCGTAAGTTAGTATGTAAAATAAGCAGAAAAGCAAATGGTAATGTAACAGACAATCAATGACAAAATCAATGGGCGAATGTCATCAATTCATCGCGAAATGTCATCATTTCGCTGAATCTTTTGATGACATCTTTTTATGCTACGTCATTGAAGATCTGTTTTATGTTTGACCAAAAAAAAGTTTGTCGCAAAACATACGGATAAATGCAAACATTCATGCTTTGTTTTGTTTGTATTTCATATCCTATATATTTTAATTAAAAAGTGGTAAGCTTTTGTACTAATATTTATTTTCTAGTTTAATGTTTGTTCGGTGGGTCGTGCCACGCCACTGAATGAAATAAATAATATAGAGAGAATTGCCAAATCCAATAAAGTTCCATGTACATGCAATGAATAGAAGATAGAACAGAGAAATGCGAGATGTTGAATGAGAAAAAAGACCGTGAATAATGATAAATGGCCCAGTACCACAATGAAAGAAAAATAAATGAAATCGAAAACAGTATGAGAATGAAGCCAGTTAACGCCACAAATGAATGCTCTTTATTTGTTTTGTCGGTTAAAGCGTGTGAGACTTAGAATGAATTGAATTATTATATGCGCATTTTGCCCAATGAAAAAGCCACCGAAAAGCGAATTAACACACAAAATATAATCGCAATTCGAATAATTCACCTTTTGTTTGGTATTGTTTTGGGGATGATCTGGATAGGGGCAAAGGGATATCTACAAGAAAGAGACATCACGTTAAACAAGCACATCTAAAGCAAAATTATTGACAACTATTGCTGTGTTTCTTCATTATTCTATTTTTTTTTTTCTTTCGTTCGTTTTTTTTTTTCTCTGTGTTTCACAAGTGTACAATAATCAACAATTTGGACAAACAACGGAGGAAGGAAACGTGTAACCGACGAATGATGTATGTAATTTACACTGAAAAAAAAATTAAAATAAAGCAGCAAACTTGCAAGTGTGAAGTACAAGTTGAATGAAACTCTGCCGATTTCAAAATATTGAGACAGATATCGGTGTAACAAGTGACGCGAACGCTACATAATACACAAAACACAGCAGATAATAATGAATTGAATGTTCAAAAATTACCATGCACATAAGCACACCGGCAATCATTTTTTCACTAAATAGGAAAAGAATGCACAGACACAGTGCATGGTGATGTAGTGAGTGAGTGAGTGAGTGAGTGAGGGGAAAAAAATGTGAAAGAATCAGTCACAAAAGGCCATACTATTGACACAACAAACCCGTTTGGGTCAATATTCATGATTCTAATCGACAACATTGTTGACAAGCTCATTTCTCTCTATGTCCAATGTTCATTTTCCTGTGCGCACACAAACACGCGCGCGTTTGGGAGAGCTAGTGCTTGCGCGAAAATCAACAAACACCCAAACGACATGTAATGAATGCATAACATTATTACATCAAACAACAAATTTGTGAGAAATGCAAGTAAATACGAGCGGTTCTGAACTTTTTGTACAAGAAAAAAATTTATTCAGTGCAATGACACCGTATGCATTGCAAGCAAACCTACAGATGTTTTTTTTTTTCTCTTCTCTTCATTGAGTCTTTCTGTTTTTTTCTTCTATGTGTGACAAAGTGAACAACGCTCCGGAGAAAGGAAAACTGAAAATGTCCGAATCTCATACGCAATTAGTATTCCAAGCGTAGTTTGTTATTTTATTTCCTTTTCGGTGTGCATTTGTCTAGCGACACATTTCACGGAGTCTTCTTCTTCTTCTTCTTCTTTCTGTTTCAATTCATCAATTAGTTTCAATCGATTTAAGTGCAGATTTGTGAACGTGCCAATGATTGCATTTCCATTTATTGAAATGATTTCGAATGTACAGAATTGCTTATTGTTTCAACGAGCCTTCATTTTGTGACGACATTTTCAAAGACAGTGTGTCTCTGTGTGTGCAGATCAAGTTTTCGGTATTATCAGCAACGTGTTTTTTCTTAACGCCGTCGCCAAGCTGTCTGTCGTATAAATATGTAGCGTTATCGCGTTTGTGGTTTTTTATTTTCATAAAATGCTGATCAATCATCATACATAAATAACGACTTGGAATTTGATAAAGCTCAAAAAGAACGAAATGAAGTGTTCCACTTACATATTGGGCAACGTCTTGCCTGGCGATGCTTTTTGCTATAGCAGACTGTCGTTTTATCACTTGAAGAATGCCCTTGATATTGGACTCGTTGTGATCCTCTCGAGCCGGAATCTTTTCTTCGCGACACGGTGATCGTAGTGTTTCTTCTAGCGAATGATCCATGTTTGATCGGCTTCCTTGATTCTCAATTGGTTTGGCAGACACCTGATTTACTACCAATATCAGCAAACACACCACAACTATAGAACAATCTGTAACGGAGAGGAAAGATAAAAAAGAGATCAGATTAGCATACTAGGCTATAATAATGCGTAGATGTGTAAATAGATAGAATTAGTTAATCAGTTTGTAGAATATATAAAATAGAGAAAAAAAATGTGAGACTTCATTTCGCTCATTCTTCAACAGGTGATGTCAAAATTAAAAATAGAGAAAGAAAATTCCATTGGAATCATCCGAAGACATATTTCGTAGATTGAAAATTCAGATAAAATTGTTATTATAGCTATGTATTTGATTGTAGTGTTTTTGGTTGATTTTTAGGCTCATGATCGTTTTTCGATTGACCAAAGCCAATTTGCTTAGTTTTTAAAAGATCCGTATCGATAAAGTGGCTACGCCGAATGAATGGAACTAAAACACGTTAAAATAGTAACGAGATTTGTACTCACACGCACACACCACAAAGTAGTCAAGTCGGATCTCATGAATTGAATCAGAAAATCTCGGTGTCAATATTTTTAAAAGATGATTCATCGCGTACACCATACAAAGCGATACTATTTTGTGTGCGATTTGATGGCTGTTTCACACAGTAAAACAACTACAATACAAACACATGTGCCACCACTAAATTGATACGTAGTTGGACACTCCAAACATGCGTTCGAAATACGAATGCGACGACGACCACCTCTAATTGTACTATCACATGACTCTGTTTAGTTTTATAATTGTTCAATTACGTCAATCGCTGCGTGGCTGCATCGTCGTGATGATGCTGCAAGTATTTTGTTGTTCCTGTGCATGATCGTGGCATAGGTGTAAATGGTTTGTTTTTAACCGCAAATACCGTTTGTTTGGAGTTTATAATTAAAAACTGTATCGGACGACGGTGGTTGAGCAATGTTGGATTTTCCTATTGCCGAATACAAAACACCTTCGACATCAAGGTTCCAATCGAATTGAGCTGCGGCGACTCTTTTTTTTTGTTGCACCGATGACTCAATAAACATGACAACCGAACGAGCGTACACCGTAAAAAACCGTTTCGTTTGTATTTTTTTGTGTTTTTGTTCGACTCGTGTGCACTATTATGAAGCTCATTTCAATATTTATATTCGTTCGTGTAATTAATTTAACACACATCACTTTTGAAAATTTATCGTTCAATCGTAAATAATAATAATGCACATCGCAGTGTGAAATTCAACCGCACACAAGTCTATGCTTCGGATTCTGTCTCTTAAAAAGTGTCCGGCCGTTCAGAACGATTAGAGACGAGCGCTGCTTGTAACTTTACAGTTATTCTCAAGCTGGAATAATCGCTTTTGGAACGCTCATTTCATAAATCAATCAATTGATGGGCACAACAAAATGGTGCGGTTTTTATTTACAAACTTTTATTTTTAGCACATTGATTTAGGGCGTATTTTTATTTTATGCAAACACCAAAGAAATTAACAGCTAAACAGCCGTGTTAATCACATTGAACTTCAATATTTTGTAGGGAAATAACCTGTTTGCCGATTCCATTCGTCACTCGAAATTATTGGCTTCATTTAAAAAGTGGAATTTTTTCTTCGTTGTATCACAGGTGCATTATTCATTAAGAGTACCTCTCTTATTTTGCCCGTTTCGCTCCCTCTCGTCATTTTGCTCCCTCGTAGTCGCCCCAGACTGCCTGCCACTTGTTGACCGAAGTCAAGTGGATGTGTACGTAGTGTGCTACAATTGTGTGTATGTGCGTGTAAGTGTATGTTTTCGCACCCACGTAATGCTTGTGCAAGTTTTAATTAACAAGCAATTGAATCGATCATCCATGAAATGGCGTCCCACCCACACGCGTTTTGGTGGCAAAATATAATTTTATCAAGATGAACATCGTTACTTTGCCAACTGACAACAGCACCGTTCGTAAGGATTTTTCACAATTAGGAAAATTCATTTTCTAGAAAGCGTGAATAGAAATTGACTCGGATTGGCTGTCGATCATCCGACGTTCCATACTTTTTCAATTTGATGTCATTTATCTAATTTGAAACTGAATGACCTGAATATTGTAGTGCTTTGCGTGGGTTCCAACAAAAATTATTTTCCCTTTGACTGGATTCACGCAACTGTTCTCTCTCAGTGGTTTTTTTTTTTTTTTGGTCTGTTTTGACTGAACCGTCCACAGCAGCAGACAAATATTCTTAGTGGAAAAATAAATGGGAATAATTTCACACCAAAAATACCTCAATTTGGCCAATAGATAGAGCCTTGCAAAGTACGAAGAACTCAGGTGAGCTATGATATCCATGAAGCAAGCCAAAAAAGGAGAACTAATGAATGATTAAGTAAAAGTCCATTCAAACAATGGAGTTCATCCATATGTTCAGCATACGGGATAATTATAGTTCGATAATAAAATAATTTAAGGTCATTTGCCAATAAAATATTTTATGATTGCAAAACCGACAAATCCTTCTTAGAAGTTAGGATTTTTTTTTCTCGGCTATTTGATGGACATTGAAATCATTGAACACGTTTATTCCAATGCTCTTTATGCTTGCATTCGTGGGATTTGCATTTACCTGACTGAAGTAATTGTGTAAAATGGTTCTAACTTTCACTACCTGTGCCAAAAAAAGGGTGAATGCGTTTCTATGTGGTATGGCTCTGCTTAGCGGATATGCAATTCAGATTCGGTCAAAGAGTTAAACGGTCGTGTTTTAATAGTGATGGCAAAATACAAGGAGTTTATTCGGAATAAATGGACCCGTGTAAAATGGAAACAGGTATCAAAAAAAAATATCGAGAGATTTCTCTTAAGAGGTTCAACTTTGCGGGTGGATTTTGAGTTAATGAAAGGTAAAACGTCTGAATTATACAGCAAATGACTACTTCTTGACAGATGACGAGAGAGAGAGAGAGAGAGAGAGAGAGAGAAAACAGCAAATCTTCTTGTTTTTCCAATCCACAAGATCATTCATTTCTTTCGCATGAATGCACACCTCATTTAGATGCAATGAATGGTTTTATCTACCGGCAAGTATCAAAAGAAGGTACAAAAGTGAAACAATGGCAATAAAAATATTCGACTAAGTAAACAGTGCATGTTTTTTTTGTAGGTTTTTTTTTTCTGCCGTACGCATTCATAAAATGATGGTAATTATTTGCGGTTGCACGTAAAACAACAACAGATTAGTAGATTGCTTTTGTGGTTTAGCTCGTGCATCATGTTATCGTGTGCAGAGTCATTTCAAAACGTCAATTTTCATCTTAAGCGTTAGTTTGTACCATTCTCAATGAATATATGTATGTGATGATGATGATCCTGCGTCCGTTCGTACCAAATTCAGAAGCTCAATGGTTCTTCGTAACCACAATATTAACAAAAATAAATAAAATATCATAATAATGTTGCCGTTAGAAAACCGTAAAAAAGTGAAACAACCGGCCACAAACAAGAAAGTGCAAACATTTCATTTATTGCCTAAAGTAGAAGTTATTACTAAGTGTCGATATGACGAAGAAAGAAAGAAAGATAGAAAAAAATATGTATAAAAGATAGCATCGGAATTCGAGTGCCGAAAAAACAAAACGCGCGACGGAACTGAAGATCAATAAATATTTTTTTTTTGTCGCAAAAAAAAAGCGTTTGATCATAGCGGCGTTAATCCGATATACATATAAAGGACCGCTGAAGTGGTACAAAGTGTGATCACACCCCAAAAATGGGCACATTTCTTATTTGTCGCACGTAAACGATCGCCGATATCAGCCGAAGATCAAAAACATAGCGTAAAAATGTCATCAAATATTCCAAACGAAATGCACGAAATTTTGTGTTGGATTTATGGATTTTCAATCAAAACATTTACATCTCTTTCGCTCTCTCTCACCCGCTCGCTGACGACCAAACTGAATTGGTTGCGATTGAAGAAAGCCGAATGCAAACGGTTTTGACAACGAAGAATGCGTCAGGAAATATCCACGATTGATGTGGACAAAAACAATTATTGTTTTGTTGCTGTTGCTGTTATTTTGGTTTTTGTATTTCTTGGCAAACGGAATCGCGGAATATTGAATGAAATGCGTATAATTCGCATTCAGTTTTGCTTTTCGTCGAAGATCCGATTCGGTGAGTATATGAGCCAGAGAATATTTTGTTTATGTTATTCGTGCTAAGCGCAATGATTGAGTCACACTAGCGATTCAGCCCTGCCGTAGCTGTATCGTAATATACTTGTGCAAGAAAAAAAAGAAGAAGAAGCAGAGAGGTGTACGTGCGATTTCTATTGAATTTAACGTTGGCTCAGTTCCGTTTTGATGGAATTCACGGACGTGCTCACACACTTCACATTATATTGTCTTCAAACTCTTTGGTTTTTTTTTTCTGTCTTTCTCCTTTGGTAAACGGATTTTGGTTCTGCCACATAGGGACTTTTTTACACATCATCGCGAGTATGCTGTTTATTGTATTTATACTGACGGATGGCGTTTATACTACGATGACTAATAGAACGAACGAAAGAACAAATTGACGAATAACGATCGCTGCTGATCGTTGAACACAAACAATTCCAATTCGAATGTAAAATGATATTTCAAAACTTATAGCTAGCTCCGTTGAAGGATGTTAAAATGCCATTCGGTCTGATTTTGGTGATTTTCAGACGAAAAACAAAAATAAAAAAATAACGTTTTATAATGTTTCAATTGTTGCTATCAGTTGGTGATTGCGTATTACAGTTCCACATTGTCTAGCAATTCAACAACTGCAACCAGTACATGACGCGTATTCCGATACGATACGCGAAATTTTATTTCATTTCAATTCTACGTTCAAAATTATGAGTCATTATTTTGATTGTTGCCTAGATGTGTGTATAAATGTCTATTTTGTTTCCTACAATAGCATTTTCCACGAAACTTACTTGTATTTCCCATTCTTTGGGCTGTTCGATGTCTGTGAGTGTATTTGTTATGTGTGCTGTTGTTGTGTTGCTGAGTATTTTTCGACTTTTCGTCATCATTTTGGGGGAATTGTGAGCTTTCCATTCTGTTTTCATTGTTCCAATTAAAGCGACCCCGTGAACTTGTCAGACTACAGCTACTTTGATCCATATTCAATGTCGTTATTTTCTTATCACAAAGATCACTTTGTTTATTTTCGTCCCAGTTCAGAAAATAATCACAATTTGTTTGGGTGTTGATTGGGCTATGGCTTGTCCGAGTAAATCGCGGTGAAATTTTTGCTGTTGCTTCGTTTGGTGCAGTGAAACTGGTTGGATCAGGTGATGATGCTGATGTTGCGATTGGTGTATACGATCTGCGAGCCTTTATTGTTCGTGAGTATGTTGGAATAATTGTTTGATTGCGATCAACAAACCCGAATGGATATACGGCATTTGTGTTTGAGTTACTCTTATTTTGGCACATAATGTTTGAGGATAAATTTCGAGTTTTTATTCGCACGTAAAGAATTTTTTTTTTCTTCTAAATCTGAAAAATTGTTGTGATTGAAAGAAGAAAAAAAATTGACGTTAACTCAGATTCTTTGAGAATTTATTTTTCGGTTGACAACGTTAGTCAATTATTAATTTTTGCACTTAAATTTCCACATGATATTCTCGTTTTTGGATTCGTGCAAAAATCACAGATTAATTCAAGAAAAAAACCCAAAACGTTATTTTTTTACGAACGAAAAAAATTTACCACTGAATTGCAAACGACCAAAGTAATAATTGACTAACATTGTGCAATTTGATTTGGGCGCATTGGCCACACAAGAAATAAAGTGTACACACACCTGCTTGATTTCAAAAGATTTGCAGATCTTTGAAATTGGATTTATTTTAGCACTTTTATGTCACTTGATCACCACTTAAAATAATTGCCGAATTTTCGGCCACTTAACACTCGATTATCACTTGTTGCTTTTATTTATTTTATCTGTGTATGTCACACACACTTGATATTCGATCGGATGGTGCCGTGATGATGGTTTTATATTTTCTTGTCGTTTCAAAAACTCTGCTCGGTCTGTCTTGGCCGTTATCACATCGGGAGCGCAACCGTGTTCATCGAAAGCGAATCGAATTACAAATAAATTTAAGGCAATAATTATATTCTAGTTCAAGTCTTCAACTACTCCTTGTCTACACGCGTTTTATGAATAAGTTCGATTCCGATTGTCCGCTGCATATACATACATTTCTCTCTTAAACGTTCCCACATTCACGTCTCTCTTTCTGCGATACATGTGTATCACTTTGCTGTTGCCGTTGCTTTTGCCGCTTATTTATTTCATTTGTCACTCAAATATATCGATATATGTGCTGGGCAGCACAGCACACAGCAGACGTACACAGCTATCTTGATGTAGTGGTGTTGTGTGTGTGCGAAGAGAGCGAACGTACGAACCGTACGCTTGTCATACGGATGGTGAGTGTCGAATGTGTGTATTTGCTTTTGTTTCAGGCGATTTTTGTTGTGTTTGCTATTGTTGTTGTGCTGTTTTTTTTTCTTCTTCTTTCGTTTCATTCTCATCGTCAGCGCTGAGAGTTTTTACTTAAGTTGATGAGCGTGTGAGAGACACCAGATACATGTGTAGGTATTTATGAGTGATGTTACCGATCTCCGCAACGATGAAGAAGATAGCAGCAAAAAAAAAAATCAACGACACACATACACTTTACAACTCAATGACAATATCCCATTCACAGAGATGATCGATTCGTTTTTCCACCATTTAGACCAAATGGTTACTCCTTTTCTCTGTTGCGCTGGTCAATTTCATTCAACTTGTTGCTCTTTTTTAAACCATTAATTTCGAGTAAAGATCAAGATCTCTCTCTCCCTCTCCTTTTCTCTCTGTTTCAGCCAGGAACGATCAGAAAGCATATTGGTATCCTCCCATTTCTTAATAATATTTTGCACATGCAGATTCGTTGGACTTTGTTCCATCGTTCAGATTCGATGCAACGGCACCATCCACCAATTAGTACCAAAATAATGAAATACAAAAGTCGAAAAACCACACTACAAAACCGATGATCGTGAATTCGCATTGGCGTCAAATTGTGACGAAATCCCATTTTGCGCCCAATACATACACACTTACTCTGCCGATCGTTGAATAACGATGATTTTTCTGTAATTTTTATTGTTTTTAAAAAGCGAGTAATATGAAAGATTATTCTTGTCAACATTTCTTTGGAAATCATAAAACAGGGCAAAGAGAAAAAAAAAATGCATCTAATTGGCAAAAAAATAAAATTCTAAAGTGAGTGTTGGTTTTTTATGAATGAGAGATGACAATCAATGGTGCTCGTAATTACGCTGTTTACGATAAATGTTATCGCATTTTACGGCTCTTTTCAACTTTTCTAAACAATGATTTATCCACTGACGTAGCACATCCATTCATACGGCAAATAAGGAATGATAAGGAAACCATTCGAAATAAAAAAAAACGATTCGGACCATTTATTATTCGTAGATTATAAATTTTTAATTTAGAAAATCTGGTTTTTTCTTCATTCAAAAATTTCGATGACGAAAGGAACTGTTTAACAGAACGGAACGATATCGGATTAGTCACCAGCTTCCAGCCGATATTACTTGGAAACACTGCTGCCATACACACATGGTTATGACGTAAACGACGAAGTGTGTATGAGTTTTTGTTGTTGGTGCTCATTCTTGTTTCAAGTAATTTTGGTGTGAATAGGCACACGACTTGACGCACAAAGTGGATAATTATTTTTTGTTGATGCTGAATGAATAAAAGTTATTCCCTTTCAACTTGTGTCTTCGGTATATTTTGGCTCTAATTAGGTCATTTTTGGCATTCAGCCCATTATTTTGTCCCACTTGGATGCGTTAAATCCTAGTTACGTAATTTATCAAAAAGGAAAATAATTGAATCACGACATAGCTACCGTTGATGGGCAACATTTTGTTGGATCTAACAGTTTGTGCATTGTCACCCAAATGTTAAATATCTTATTGTGTCGCGACAAGATTAAATATAGTAAGCTTTCACGTAAAAAGATATCAAAAATGGTGTACATTTAAAATCAATTTCCTGTCTTGCTGCAAGCACTTGAACATATTTTCGAAACATGGAAATGTTTCATTCATCAAATGCAATTATCAGGATTGCGGCGCAAATTCCCTTACATAAACACCTATATAAAATCAATTCTATCAATGATAATTAAGAGATAATATACGTTTCAAGAGGTGATAATGACAGCGTGGTAAGACTAAATGGGCCTGGCCAAAAATGCCGAACGAACGAAAGAAATGAATGAATATTACAGAAAATCGGGTGGAGCTTCGGTATGTCTCTCTCTCTCTTTATGTACATACACATGCGGGAAACATGCTTTCCAATGTCATTGAGCCGTGTACCAAGTGAGACGCTTCGCTTCAATTCGATTCGGTTTCGAAGTCATCGACGAAATTCATTCACAATGCGAACCACTGGCACATAATGTAAACGAAGAAGGAAGGCAAACTGTGTGTAAAAACAACCAAAAACATAAAATAACATGTTCTATGTTGGTATCCGTTGGATTTTGCAGAGCGTTAAACATGCTCTCTGGTTTCGGCCTCAGTTCCAGTCGCAGTGTCTCTCTCTCTCTCTCGCAGTGGTGGCACAGCGCGATATGCGTCGTCACTCACCTGTGTATGCTGTTCGGCAAGCAGAAGAGCGGCTTCGGATCGAATGAAGAGGCACACAAACACATGCGAATCATGTTGAAATATAATACCAGTTGCTTTTGGTAGACGAGAGCATGCCAACATGCACGTATTTCAGATGGGGCATACCTGAGTATCATCATAAGGCCGAGTTGATGCTGAAATATGTAAGCGCACAGCGCACACAATCGAAGCGACGGAGTGTATCGATGATGTTGGTTCACTGGTGAACCGACAACGGATGATGATGTTAAAAATACACATTGTTGGCCAGCCGCAATGCAGCACAAGCATGGCAAACACCAACAACAACAACAACAACGGTCATTCGGTCCATTCGAACATCTGCTTTGTGATGTGTTCAATATATTTCAATTTGGACCTCGTTAGCTGCATTTGTGCAATAAACATGTATGGGTTTTTGGTGTTGAAAGATTGTGCGCGACTGTCGCTCACTTCCTGAGATACCGTTTTCGTGTCGTCGCCTTTTTGTTGTTGTTCAAAGTGGCGCATGCTGCGCTTAATTACATTTAACACATATGCATCTCTCTTGACTCAAGTCATTTGCAGTCTTCATTTCATCATTTGCTTTCGCTTTTCGCTTTTGATCTTCGCAATGAATTAGTTGCATTTTCATGTTAACAAATAAAAGATTTTGTATTTCGGCTACAGATGTAAACAGACACTACCTCCTTCTGCATGTTTTTCTGTGCCCATGAAATTCGAAAATATTTAGCGAAATTCGAAGCATGATTCGATAAATTCCCATTAATTTTGTATCCGTTCAGCCGAATTTCGGGGCTCATAAAAGAAGAGAAGTGGCGAGACGTCGGGGAAGAAGAAACGCAACAATTTCCATGAATGAAATTTCCATGAATTCGCGACAGACACTTTTCGTCGTCACGTTAATAGGTTTTGGGTCCTTTCTTTGGAAACATTGCATTGCTGGTCTTGTAAATCGGCTGGAGATCAGTGGTTTCAAAACCACTATCGCTTTCATGACGCAACTATGCCACTGTCATGTTTGCAAGCATTTCGATTTGATTCGCGCGCAAAAAAAAATTCCTGGGAAATTTGCATTGTTTTACTCGTTGAATCACACAAGTCATCACAAATGAATCATTTGGAATGGCGCACCGGACGTGATTCTGGCTGATATATTTTCCGTTTCGCTAATTTATTATGAGAATTTGTTTGTCTCGACCGACACATGAGCAAGCCAAAACATCACATTAAATTCTGTCCGATTCTAAATTTAACACGAAATGAGTCAATTCCCGAACTAAAAGCAACAATTTCGTCGGGTTTTTTTCTTCTCTGGCATAGGCAAACAAAACTATACACAGCATACATTTCACATGCGAGCGCATGTTTTGAGTGCTAATTCTGAAAATCAATCGTTTAAAATGGTTTTTATGAAATTTTTGATGGCATTTAGACTTTATCTCATCAAATCTATACGCTTTGCAGTGGGACAAAGTGTTCGAAATATTGTTTATGAAATTTCAGCCAGTTACTGCAATTTAATCTCTCAGCTGGAGCCGAAAATCATGGACGGAGTAGAAGTTTAACACACAGCATGAAAAGAAGAGTCAAACGTAAATTGTAAACGACTCGATCCTACTTATGTGTGTGTGTGTGTGTGTGTTTGTGTTTGAACAAAGGTGAAAATAGAAACAATTGAATCGGCTTGTTTGCACTTCTAAACGGATATCCATATTTTGCATATCTCTTGATTTACCATTTCGTAGAAACTTTTATTGGGATTTGTGCAGATTTCAATGCGTTTTTATGGATTTTGGAGGATTTTAAGGCTCTTTTTGAGCACTTTAAAAGATGAAATATGCAAAAGAGTTGAATTAATTTTTGAACTCTGTTTTTTTTTTAACTGAATGAATTCTCTTTGACAAACAGAAAATAGAAGCAAGTTGTGATGATTTTGTTCTATGATGACTATAGTTAGTGTCGCTCTTTTTTTTTTATTTCCAAATCTATTGTGAAGTGTTTTTAGAAAGAGTGTCCGGGCCACCGGAGAAAATTCATGAAAATCATTTGAGAAAAATGAAAAGAATTATGACAAAAAAAGCGACAGAAGAGAAAACATAAACATCTAAACATCTTCATAAGAGAAGGAGGAATGCATGGCCGCAGAGCCACACAAATGGCCTATGGATATGTCTTATTCAATAACAAACAATAGGATGATTTTCAACCATAAATTCTATGTGTTTTTCCTTTTATTTTTCTCTCTTTCTCACACACACACACACACAGACACACTTTTTTCTTTCTCATTTGCCGCACTGAAAACGAACGTTTGTTCTCGATTTTGAATAGAAGAAATTCCATAAAATAAATATTTTATTCATAAAAATGGACACAACGGCATTCCGAGAGGACGCATCTCTTTAGATTGGAAAGGCACGGTGAGTGTCAATGATGATCAATTTTTATTGAATTGTTTTGTACAGGGACGACGATACACAATAATAGACTATTTGTCGGCACTTTCTCTGTCCTTGCTCTTTCCAATCAGACACCTTTTCTATTCGATTTGATTTATATGGCGCCAATATTGTCATC